CCCAACATAAAAGAGTCAACACCGCTGACGATTAATTGAGCAGTTAGGTGGCCCACCTCCGACAAACCTCACTCGTTTCAGGTAATGAGAAGATTTTCTTTTTTTTCATAATCCTCGTTGTTATCCTTATTTGAGTACACAGCTGCCCTTTTCACAATCTCAGCATCCTCTAATGGTGACGGACCTGGGGACTGGGACTTTTACGTAAATATGGACCAGCTGATATTTACAAAGAATAATTCCTTCAGGTGATTTTATGATWTTTTTGGTTGTTTGGCTCCTTGTTTTTCTGGAGAAACTCATCTACACATAGTGAGATTGAGATCCTTCCAGTGCTTCCAGCAGCGTTTCCAGCATTCAGTGTGAGCTGTGATCAAAGAGTGATCTCTTCCTTTTTAACTCCACATGGCCTCTCATTAGTTCCACAGTATGAAGACACTTCCCTGACAGGAATCTATTATAACATTTCAAGCTTTAAATCTGATTACGATGCCAAGTTAAAAACGTGAATGACTTGAGTGTTTTGCTTTTTAGACAAGACACAAATTTTCTCTTTTTTTCCCCATGACTACTTTTTTTTAACCAAAGAAAAACAGTAAATTGTAGCTCTTTAATGTAAATTACCTTGCACTTTAGACACATTCTGCTTGTTTACCGCAGGGAAAAGTGCCAATTTAAATACACCACCACTGAAAGTATATTCTACTTTTTCTGTGTGATCGATGATTTAAAAATCAATTTCCATCTGATGTTGACGCCATCACTGTACCCATTTCTTTAAGTGATGTTGATAGTTCAACACTTTATTTCTTTCACTCACATTTTCACATTTCAGAATCAGGAGCGTGTACTGGTGCGTGTAAGTTCATCTGTAGAATAAAATGAGTAATAGCTGCAATGAATGACATTTAATAAAAAATTATGTCCTAGAATATGACTTCACATCCCGTCTGGGAGTGACTTGGTGGATCCTAATATGGCAGACCATTTGAACCTAAAATCTGCTTCATCATACTTACATTTCAGATATTAGTTAATCAAGATATCTCCAGTTGTATTTTGATCTGGCAAAATACTTATTTGAGATATTTCCAATTACATTCCGACCATGTAAAAAAAATGAGTAGATCCTCTGACCGTTTTTTTTTTTTGAAAACGTTTTGTCTCTCCTCCAAGAGACTTCTTCAGTCTGAGGAGTTACAGGTAGGCTCAGCTTTATCAACAGTTCACAGGGTGGACAAACAACCAAAATTGTTTGTTCACAACAGGAAAAAGAGGACCATCGGCCTGATGATCATCAGTGCCCTGATTGGAACCCATTGTTCACAGATGGCTGAGTCATACTTTCAATAATAGCATTGTAAGAGAGGGTCAACTGGACATGGAAACATCCACCCCTGTTTACTGACAGGCAGTTTTTTTTCTTCATAAAAATGGTTTCCTTTACTCCTCTCTCAAACCAGTGCTTCATCCTATCAAACATAAGAACATTTTCATCCCTGAAAGAGCGACTCCCAGCCTGCAGATAAGTGCAAACTGCAGAGCACCGGTCAGATGAAGTTTGTGAGGAATTGTAGCCTTACTAAGCCACTTGCCTTACCATAACTTGCTATGTCTTACAAAACATTTTTAGTTTATCTTAGTAAGGAAATTGAAAATGTGAAGCTTTTATGTGCATTGCTAAACCTAATAAACTGGTAAGTCATTGAAGATTGTTTTTTTCTTTTGTTTCACTACAAACATTGCAATTTTAATTTAACACTAAGAGTCAATTTCAACACTGAGCCAGTGTTTATATACAGTATTCCTCTCTAGAGCAGAATTAAACTGACACTGACTTCAGTGTTGAATTTTCAGAGGTAATTTWACTCTGTTTAGTTAAATTGAGTTCTAGAGTAAAAGTATAATTACACKKTTGGYGTTGTTATACTCTATAACTCMATTTAACTCTAAACAGAGTAAAATTAACTCTGAAAATTCAACACTGAAGTCWGTGTCAGTTTAACTCTGCTCTAGAGAGGAATATATRAACACTGGCTCAGTGTTGAAATTGACTCTTTTAGTGTACTTAGTGGTCTGCAATGTCAGTTCAGCCCAACTCYATCCATCCATTTTCTACCGCTTGTTCCAGTATCGTGCTGCGGGAGCAGCAGCTTGAGTAAGGAGACATCTCTTTCCCAGCTCTTCTGGGTGGATTCCAAGGCGTTCCCGTTAATAAACATATCTGCATTTACATTATGACTTACAGTTCAAGATATTAAATTACCATTCAGGAATGAAGAAAGAAAACATAGCTGTTCCTAACCAAAACTCATTTTTAGAKGTCTAGAACCTAATTAAAAACAGATGAAGCCAACTTTATGTTAAAATGGCCTGCCAWATCCTGACATCATATTTCGCTGACTGTACCTGTTCAGGACAGTCGTTCAGGAAAACACCCAACTGTTGACTCCATGTGGTCAGACACTGCAATCACTTCAGTCACCTTTCAGCACATGCAGTTTCCTTTCGTTCCCACCAATCCATCTAGGTTTAAGATTTCAATTAAAGTTTCATCTTAACAATGCACAATTTGCCTTCTTTTTCTTTTTTTTCTTTTTACCAGTGTAGTGCAAACCATGTCTGGAATTCAGTAAAAATCCCCAAATTTAAAAAAAAAAGGTGAAATGAATTCTGTCCAACTGGCAGTGTACGTATTTAAAATGCAAAATATTTTGTATTTATGGTAATTTTATCTTTGCTTTGCAGCTGCCTTGGCTGTATTTCCCCTCAGGGATCAATGAAGTTCATTTTAATCTTCACAAAAACCTTCTTACAGCCTCAAGACAGTTTTATTCTGTGAAGAAGTTATGAAGAAATCACAGTAATACCCATTTGCAAATCCTGTAAAACCTACCTTGCCAGCAGTCGTCGCAAACCTAAAAGTGAGATACATTGGATGTGACGTAAATGAGCCATGAATAAAGAATTGTGCTCGGCTTGTTTTGCTGCTATGCTTCATTTCCATCCACAAACCTTATAGCTATTGTTAGGCGTCAGCGCAGCAAAAGGTCTTCTTCTGCACTTACAGCTTATAGATACACTGAAGTTTATCTGAAAAAACAATGAACAATTTTTAATCCGCAGACGGTGAGAATGTGAAAAACCGCCATAGCTCTTAAATCACTTACATCTTCTTAGCCAACGTTTTCCTTCACATGCAAAATCACTTTCTTGCYGAGCCTTAAATCACTGTCCCTGACTCAGTTTGGATGTTGATTGTGAGATGCTTGTAAACAAAACCATACATTTGAAAGATGAAAAATAAGGTGTTGATCTAATATTGTTTTTGTTCTGCAGTTGAAATCACAAAAATCTGTTTCCAAAGAACAGCAGGGCCAACCTTGATAGATTTAGTTTTGTTTTATACTTAATTGGATGACTTTATTTGGTGCATTCAGATTGTTTTGTGTAAAACACTGTAGACATAAACACATTATCAAGAATAAAGACCATCTTGAAGAAACACACTCTGCCTGCTGCTTTTCATACCCATATTTTAGACTATTATGTTGATAAATGCTGGAGTTGTAGCTGTTTTGGTCAAATCATGATAACATCCACAATCTCTTGCAATAGCTTACATGATCTGATCATTCTTAGAGTATAAGTTGTGCAATGGAGGGCACAGCTAACCAAAAAGTTAGATTTACCAACCACTAATCTGCTTAGCAAGAATCTTATAACAATAAATCAACAATAAACGGCTAATCTGCTAAAAAAAATTATTGGAAGCTAACACTAACTGCTAAGACGACTCTGCCTGCATCGCAGATCTTCACCTCCTTCCAGTTGGACTGGTTGGAGTGACACAAAACTGTTGTTAGTTTTTTATTGGTTTAATGGGTAGAATCAGCCAATCCAAACCAGAGGTGTAGCTCTAATATGTGATACTTCCAGGTTCACAATTTCAGAAAAAAAACCCATTTCTAGATCAAATTATTATTATTTTTGTAATAAATACTTCTTTTTTATGCTCTCAGATTGAAGTTTAGCTGCTAAAGATGCTACATTACACACACGGGCTGTGTCTCAATGCATGGGCTGCATCCTCATGTGTGCGCATTTGTTGGCCACAGGTCACTGCCCCGCGCCAAGTGCTGTCACAATCCGAAGGCTCCTCCTCGTGCGGCCGAGGAATGGGGCCCACAAAATCTCAAAAATCAAGGATGCACCCAGGTATCCTTCCCGGCCGAGGATATCCCAGGATTCAATGCGCCGACAGCAAACAAAACAGTGAAAGGAAGATAGCAGTTTTTTTTTTTTTTACCAAGTCAGCATAGTTAGAAAATTTCTCACGAACTAAATAAAAAAGGTTTTTAAATGTAAGTTTAGCACCTTAGCTGATGAATTTCATGCTGCAATAAGATGTTAAATAAAATGCAACTACAAGTACTAATACTGGAGCTGAACTGGGATACATGCTCATGAGGATGCAGCCCATGAATTGAGACACAGCCATGGTGCCCGACATGTCCAGCACAGCTTGTAAGAGGGAATAGTAATTATTTAATTTGAGATAAATGGCATAAAAATAGAAGTTTTACCTTTGTGAACTTTAAGTAAACTTAAAATTAGTTTAACTTAAATTACTGAAAGCTAATTGTCCGCTAATGGTTTACAAAGTTAGCAATAAAGCTAATTCGCTAAACGAGAGGCTAGTTCCGCAATTAGTGGATTAATGGAACTGTGCCCACCTCTGGTGATGTGAATAACCATCACCTAGAATCATGACAAACTTCAGCTTAACGTCTAATATCGATGAGTTATAGCCATTTTTGTGTAGTTGATTAGCTATGGTGGCCATCTTGAAAAGACAAATACATGCACACACACACACACACACACACACACACACACACACACACACACACACACACACACACGTGCACACACAAACTATTATCCCCTTGCATTCTGCAAAAATATGTTGTAAAATTGACTAAAATGAAAAAAATGTCTTTAATTAACACTGTTATCTTAATCTTTATTTTGTCACAATTGTATGTCAAATATATATACGCCTATATGACATATATTATATGACATATATAATTTCATTTCTTTACAATAGAGAAACAACATAGAGATGACACACTATTTTGGTTTCTAAGTAGAAGCTTTTTTTAAATAGTGATTTTTTTCATCCAGTACACTGTTTAAATCAAGCTCCCACTTGCTGTTTGTTTTTCTTATTGAGTCACATTTATTCACAATGTGTGTTTGTTTTTGTCTTTTTGTGATTTAATGTCTTCTGTGTCAAGTTGTTTGTTCCCCCCCAAATCTCTGCAACTCAATCTGTTAATCTTCCCTCAAAAATTGGTATCCATCTGTTATTCATCCATGTGGCCACACAGATGGTCGCACCGTCGGACCATCCTGAGTCACCAATGAAGGTATTCAGTTATTAGAAACGGTGTCTTTGAAGCTTTACAGAGTTAATCCAATCAGCTTGCAGAGGGCTTGGCAGAAGTGGCTCCAGTAGCTCTGCAGCTGGGTCCTTGGGCAGCCAGGAAACAGTTTGTGCCACTGTTTGTGAGATGTGTCTGACCTTGGAACTGTCCCTGGACTTCCTTTTGGCCCACTGCCTTCAGACCTGTGTTCCCTGTGTGCAGAACTTCAGCAGGATATTGGACAYGGTCCCCCTCTGACTCCTGCACAGTCTCATCCTCAAGAGTGTTTGTGCCACCGTGATGGATCTCGCTGTGAGATCCAGACAATTTTTCGGGGCTTGAAAGGCCTCTCAGTTTTACGTCTCGCRCAATTTCTGCAGTGAATTCAACAGAGCAGGCCGCCTGTGTGAGGTTCTTCTCCGCAGGGGGGCTAATGCCGCAGGGCGAAGCTCCGTTCACTAACTCAACAGTTTCAGGCCGAGACGGAGAATCGCTAATGCGCTGGCCCGGGTCTGCAGCCGGCGGAGGGTGCCACTTGAGGAGACCCGCTTGGTTCCGGTCACTCGTGTTAGTGGGCTCTGCCACCTCAGGGTTGCATGCTTGGAGCGATGGGATGATGGGCACGGAGCGGGTGCGTAGGGACGGCGGCGGGGAAGTCGAGCCTTTGTCGAGGCGGGTGCAGGGGACCTCGGTCCATCCTTTCCTGGCAGTGGCGTTAGAATGAGCCGTCCTGCTGAGGAGGGCGCCGACCCGTCTGCTGGCTGGACCACAACTTCAGAGYGATGGGAGAGCAGACATAAAAGGAAAGAAAATAAATTATTGTACAGCCTTTCATGAAAAGTTGCTACAGAAATATAAGAAATATCACAAATCACAGTATTTTATATGTGAAATTCAGGATGATCTAAAGATTTTTTTGTAGGCTAAGATCAACAGTTGAAATGCTCAGCCACTATGATTCAGATATTTTACTAACTCATGTGCAAACACACACATAAACACACAACAAACATGGATAAAATCATTATCACCCCACCTTTGTCTTCTGCATCGAGTGATAAATAATACTGAATAAACTGATGAAAAGGAAACTCTTGTGCCTTTTTCCACTTCATTTTATTGAAGTTTGACAAAAATCACACCAAAATAATTATWATTTAGTTATTGTACTTTTGTAATCTTTGAGTAATTATTTATAATCCTCAGCATGAGCAGCCTTGTTTGTTGCTGGATGAATGTTTAACAAAAAWTCCCTTCTCTCATGACTGCCTTATCAAAGTTTTAAAGCTTCAGCAGCATCACAGCTGGATTCCCCACCCTGCCTGGTGTAGATATGCATGCTGACATGTTATACATAACAGATTACCTCTTTGCACTGTTCTAATGTTTAGTTTAGGAAATGAGGCTCACTTCTAGAAAGTTGTTTGTCTGAAAATATGTATAGTACAATTTAGGATGAAAACAAATATATGAAATAATCGAATTTGTAGTTTAGGATTATTGCACAATTTTCTATCTTCCTATGCTACCGTTAGGTTTCAGCTACGGTTCTTTTCTTTTAGTTTTTTATTACAATTGTGCTATTTTTGATAGCCTTTTGCTACTTTTAGCTTTACTCTTTAGATATTTTTTAGACTCTTTCTGGTGCTTTTAGGTTCTAGATAGCATTTTGTAACTTTTAGCTTCTAAGGTCCTTTTACTTTGTAATTGGCCTTTTGCTATTTTTAGTTAGCTATTTGCACCTTATAGGTAGCCTTTTGATAAATTTAGCTTTTTTCAGATGCTTTTAGTCTGTAGCTATTATTTTGATACTTTTGGCTTCTAGGGTCCAAATGGTTTTAATTAGCATTTTGCTATTTGTAGCTAGGATTTTGCYACTTTTAGCTAGCATTTAGATATTTGKACCTTCTTTCTGATGCCTTTAGCTTGTAGTTAGCAATTTGTCACTTTTAGCTTAGGGTCCTGATAGTTTATAACTAAACTTTTGCTATTTTTAGCTAGTCTTTCGCTACTTTAACAAYGGTTTTTAATTCTTAAGGAACTTTACGCAGACTAATGCAGCACTCAGTGTTCTCACTGCATTTTTTCTGAAAAGGTATAATTTATGTAATGGCTGCCACATAAATAAATATTTAGTTATTTTAGGAGAAAGTTCAACAGGAAGGTAACAAAACTCTCTTATGTGCAGAGCAAAACTTGGCTCAGGGCTTTGTTTAATGAGTGCATCAATATAATCAATCATTGTTTCATAATCAACTGTCTGCCCTCTTATTTGTAATGAAGTCATGAGAAGCTTAAAGACTCACAACCATAGTACAGACTGTGTATTTCTTGAATATTTGTGCACAAGTGTTAGTACTGTTGTTCGGGCACACAGCCTTAGGAGACAGCCGGTATTATTGTCGGCCTTCTGAGGCTGTTTGTGGCATAACCAAGTTTATRTAATTGAATTACTTCCCCACTCTCTTCTAGGTCTAAGCAGGAYGAATACAAGCTGGAGGTAAATCCGTCTGATCAAAACACGTCTAAAAATAACTCCCGGAGCAAATTCGACTTCACTTCTGSTCCTCTCTCTGCAACTGGTAAATGTTTTGACACTGAATAATAAAACTGACTGGCTGTGGGGATTTGTTGCCACATAATGGGAAACATGGAAGAGTGTTCTCCTGTTTGTTTACCATCTCCACCTCCCTCTTTAGATTTTTTTTTTTTTTACTTTTTAACACTACGCCACCATCGCACCTCTGTCTTTTACTTCCCGGTACTCTCATCATCCCTGCCCAGTCATTCCCGTGTCCTCACTTTCCCCTCTCGCTCATTCTCTCACACTCCTTCTCCACCTCAACGTTTCTCATTTCCAGAAATGAGATGGTGTATCCATGGCAACATGGGAAATGTGGAGGCCGGAGGAGGAGGAGTGGGTCTGCGAGCTCGCCGTTTGCGTGGCTTGTAAGACGAGAAATGGGTCATTTCAACCTCCCGAAGGCCGGCGTTTGAGTGATGGATCTGGAAGGGAATTGTCAGCGRCGAATGCAATCTCAACTGTTTAATTGTACAAACGTAATTTTACCCCATAGATGACAAGAAGTTTATTGTTTCAGCTCTTCTCTTCACACTGCGCGTGAAACTTAATTGCCTATAGCAAAGAGATTTTTCCTCTGTGATTTTGAAAAGAATCCTCATTAGTTTTCATTATTAGTTTATTTGTTATTCTGTGTTAAGTGTGTGTATTCGTGCATGCGTGCGCGTTAAGACGGGAGTCGCTCCTGGAGGATCATTCCCCAACAAAACATTAGGAAAAAAAAGAAAGGAAAAGAAAACTCCAAGGCTCCATGGAGCTTTGTTTAAAAATGTAAATTATGGAAATAGGTCACATAAAGAGTTTTGGCAGCTTGCAGAATATCTTACAAGTCGCTGAAATGCTCAGTCAGGACGGCTTGCTAATAGGAACATCGCGCGGCTCTTTTAAGTGTGTGTGGAATACACAGGGGAAGCTGCTGCTTTAATGACAGACGTTTCTGTTAACAGTGCTATCGCTCCAGCTGCACTCGCTGACAGCAAATTAGGCTGTTTTTGAGTCATATGCTAAACAGCAAAGTTATTTAGATTTTTTWAAAAGAGATCCCTGTCCTCTTCTGTAAATAAAAACCTGAAATAATCTGAGTGTTTTCAATGCACTTTTATTAAAGAAGAGAGGCTGCTTGACAATGTGCTTTAACCAACTCGAGAAGACGCGCAACCTCGAGAACCACAATAACATCTTTATGTGAATTCTGAAAGTCTCTCCCCTCCTGGAGGAGAAAATGAATGAATCTTTCCTCTTTGATAATTAACAGCCTGACAGTCTTTGAATAAATGCWTATTGCCTGCTTCCTTTCACACCAGACTTTTTAAGTTATTGCTGTTTTAATGAAATCTAGTAAATGACGTCATGCACAACGTCAAGTGATGGTGCAAGATCTTTTGAGGGTGTGTGATAGTGCTCAGAGGATTTATTCGGGATGAATCTTAGCTACTACCACACTACGTTTTAGCTCAATATATGCACGATTCAACAATTTACAACCAATTATTGTGTTAGTTAAGGTCGATTGGATGTGATGGTTATCAASTCAAGTTAGACATTATTGATGCTTGTTTAAAAATTACTTTCTCAGAATGTCATTAAMGTTTACCCAGTGGTTCACTAGATATTTTGCTAAGAGACAAACAAGGTTGATGCCAACAATTAATGCCAAACTTTTAAGCAAACACTTTGTGCAATGTGAAGTGCATAAACAAATGAGTTGGGAATGACTCTCCGCTGTAAATGTGCAAAATTTTAGCCCAATATCTGTAAAGCCATTCTTGTGTTTGTCAAAGTCACCTAGCTGTGGCGGCCATCTTGAATTGGGTTGACTCTAAAAGATAATCCAGTTGTAGCTGTACACCCAGTGATTACTTCCTGAGAGTGTCGGTAAAATCCACTGAGTGGTTTGGAAATGTTTTGCTAACAACTAGTAACAATGACATTTTAAAAATAKATCAGTTTGTGCTCAGATTATGTGCTGGGAGTGATTCTCAGCGACTACCACACCAATCGTTGACTTAATAGCTGTTCAAATGGATGGGTKACAGCTGCTTTTGTGCTTGCCAAAGTCTCTTAGGCCACCTTTGAATAGAGTTGTCTCTAAAAGTTAAAGAGTTGTACATGTACACTTAACAATTAAATTAAGATCAATGCACTGAGAYATTTGCATGAGGTTGCTAATGCTACAAGCAAACACACAGACCAGGGCAAAAAAAACATCAAACTCGCCCTCAGCGACTGCGATAACAGTTGTGTCAGGGATTTCTTTTCTGTGAACACATGCCAGTGAGGATGATCAGACTGTACGTTTAAAATACGTTCAGGTCTCCAGATAGCTCTCTGGTGCCAAACGCTCCTTTTGTTTTTAATGCCACCTGAAACAGAGCCAAGTTGCTTTTACGCTTCACTTATAATGGCCTTAAAAAAATAGGTCAACTCACTGCCCTTCGTCACAAGAACATAAGGAAAATTTAAGATGGCTGAAATTAATCCACTGCAATGTGTAGTTTTACACTTTTATCCACCGCGACTCGACGCTTAGAGTGAAATGGGCAGAAAATAAATTGCTACGTTGACACATCAACTGCAAGTCTGCAGCAAAATTGAACATTAGCCATGATCGAGCCACTCCACACAGCTGGAAATAAAAGTGAACCTGGGCATCATTTGATAATTAGCTTTGGCACAGCTGTTTGTTTTCTTAACCCCCCTTTTTTATAACTCAAGATAAAACAATTTGGCAACTATGAGAAACAGTGTGTGTGTGTGTGTGTGTGTGTGTGTGTGTGTGTGTGTGTGTGTGTGTGTGTGTGTGT